GGCTGACTGCCTGGGGCATTGGCCATGGTGAGGGATCCAGACATTGCCTGAGGGCACTAGATAGCCACGGAAGGCTTTAAGCTGGGGAGGGGTCTGGTCAGATCTGTACGTTTGAACTACACCTCCTGCTTGCCTGTGGGATAAACTGAGCGGGGGGCCAGAGAAAACCACCAGGCAGGCAGCAGATAGGGCCCAGGAACAGGGCCTGGGGCCAGCTCCGAGCCCACTACTCAGGCCGTGTTATTTTTTGCAAGGAGGGGTAGACTTGGAACGACGGAAGCCGCTGGTGCACTCTGCTGCGTGCCTTCTTCAACACCGAGCCTGGGGCCTGGGGGGTGGGCATCCCGGGTTGCTCCTCACTCACCCTCTCCCGACAGGGCTTCACCCCCATGACCGTGCCAGACCTTCTCCGAGGAGCTGTGTTTGTGAGTGGGGCCCTCCGCTCGCCCACTGGGTGTCAGGCCCCGTCCTGGAGGCCGTGACAGGGTGACTCCAGATGCTTTCGGGGGAGGAGCCAGGGTTGGACTGCAAGACAGGAGAGGCCCAGGTTGCCTGTGCCCTGAGCCCTGTGGCCTGGCCTTCTCCCCCAGGAGGGCTGTGGGATGACCCCGAATGCCAATCCATCCCAAATTTACAACATTGATCCTTCCCGCTTCGAAGACCTCAACCTAGCTGGGACAGCGGAGGTGGGGCTTGCAGGTGAGCATCTGCCGGGACACTGTGGGGTGAGGAGTGGGAGGGCAACTGGAGCATCAGGGTATGGGGGGTGCCTGCCTGCCCAGGACAGCTCAGCAACCCCAGGGCCAACATGTACGGTTGTGTGGGTTGTGTACTACACAACAGTACAGTGACAGTCCAGCCGTGTGCCCTGACATGGGGTTGCATCCGCCAGAGCAGATGCCTCTTCTCACAAAGGCTTTCTCCGGACAGTGGTAGTCCTGACTGAGACCCTGTTGTCCCCTTCTCCCAGGCTACTTCATGGACCACACTGTAGCCTTCAGGGACCTGCCAACCAGGTGACATCCAGTTTCCTTAGACCCTGTCCCCGCCTGTGATATTCACCGCCCGCTCTCTGACTCGACCTCGCCTGCTCTCTGCTAGGATGGTTTGTTCCAGCACCTGCTACCGGGCAGAGACAGACACGGGGAAGGAGCCGTGGGGGCTGTACCGCGTGCACCACTTCACCAAGGTCGGCAGAGCTGGCCAGGGAGCCGGGTCCCCCCAGCTCCAATTCTCCCGACTGACCCCTGTGCCCCTGCCCGGCCTCAGGTGGAGATGTTTGGGGTTACAGGCCCCGGGCTGGAGCAGAGCTCGCAGCTGCTGGAGGAGTTCCTGTCCCTTCAGATGGAGATCCTGACGGAGCTGGGCTTGCACTTCCGGTGCGGGGAAGAAGGAGTGGCGAGGGGGCGTGAGGGTGGGCTGGCTGCCCCCCTCTGAAAGCGCCTCCCCACCTGCCCCCTCGCTGCCCCTTATTCCTGATGGATGGTCATAGGAGGGGGCGTGGGAGTGTCTGTCCCTCTGTCATCCGTCGTCGGAGTGTGGGCAGCACAGGTGCTCCAACCTGGAGACCCGGGTCTCGTCCCTCTCGCCGCTGCCTGCTCCCCACAGCCCACTTGCCTTTTCAGCATCTGGGGGAGCAGGGGTGAGAAAGGGAGGCCCAGGTGTTGTGAGCCCCACTTCCTGTCTCACCTTGTCAGTCCCTCCTCGCTTCCACGAGAGGCTGAGGGCAGGAGCGCGGTGGCTCGCCCCTGTAGCCCCAGCACTTTGGGAGGCTGAGGCTGGAGGATTGCTTGAGCTCAGTCCAAGATGACCTCGTCTCTGCAGAAAATTGAAAAATTAACCGGGTGCAGTGGTGCGCACCTGTGTTCCCAGCCACTCGGAAGGCTGAGGTGGGAGGATGGCCTGAGCCCAGGAGGTCAGGGCTGCAGTGAGCTGTGATCATGCCACTGAATTCCAGCCTGGGAGACAGTGAGACCCCGACTCAAAAAGGAGGCAAAGAAAAGGGGCCTTCTCTTCTGGGTGACGCCTCGTCAGCCTGGGGGTGCTGCTGTAGAGAGGGGAGTGGACATGGTGGGCAGCCTGCAGACCAGGCCACAGGCCTTCTGTCCCAGTGTCAGCCTCCACTTTGTGCCACCTTGTCCATCACGCCCACCTCCTCCCTCTGTCACTGCCTTCCCCCTTTGTTGTTTTGAAATGAAGTTTATTAGCGAAAGAAGAGAGGAAAGAAAGGGAGGCGTGCCGAAGCTGACAGGCCAGAGAACCCACTGTCTTCTCCTTTCCTGCCATTGTCCCCCCCTTTGGTTCCCCTCCCCCCATCTCCTCTGCCCGCCCAACGGTCACCATGCCTTCATCCTGGGCTGCAGGGTCCTGGACATGCCCACCCAGGAGCTGGGCCTTCCCGCCTACCGCAAGTTCGACATTGAGGCCTGGATGCCAGGCCGTGGCCGCTTTGGAGAGGTGAGCCCTGCGCCAGTGGGGAGGTGACTTGGGAAAGAGGACGGCCTGTCCCCGCAGCGGATCCTCAGCCCACTGTGCCCCGCCCCAGGTCACCAGCGCCTCCAACTGCACCGACTTCCAGAGCCGCCGCC